GCTTAGATGGGTGGACGAGCTCACAGCCCACCTGGTGTTAAGTGGTTACTGGAGCCTATAGACATCTACAATGCAAATGCGCCACCCACCTTGAGTTATAAGTTCTAAGGTCTCAGTATAGTTACAACGGCTACCCCACCCTTCAAACCGAAACGCATTACTGCTTCACGGCAGAAAATAGGCGGGGTGGTGGTACCTACCCGTGCGGACTCACAAGAGATCCTACCACCAGTGATTACGCAAATTATAATTTTGCGGGTTTGATTTTTATTACACGATGTTATTCCTTCACCGTGGAAGTCAATCGTGAACATTTAAGTACGTATTTCATTAGGAATATTGGTACCCGCCTGCGGGATTCGAAGGCCACGACGACTTCAATTTTTCGTCCCATATTCGTTTGTTAATCCACTTCATTGATTTAAAAAGAATCTCCAGCTGATTATTACAAGGTGATCCATATACGATGATTGATAGTGCACACATCAATTGTATTGTGTACATTAACAAAATAGTGTGGTGTAGTAGTAGTGGTTCACTTTTTTAAACAGTTTATTCAACGAAATTCCTTAACACTTGTGTTTACAAGTGGGTGTCGCATTGCAATCGGGTAGGCCAAGGCTTGTTACGTCGGAACGCTCAGAAAACAAGACTCCAGTGTATCGTTGACAACTTGGTTAAAGGCGTGATTGTAACGTAATACCGCGCATCTTAAGCATATCAAACGTTTTGACATATTCTAAGATGCAAAGTTTTATCTAATCGTTTATCTCCGGTAAACGAAAACAACACTGGATTTACGTGTACTAATATTCGTTCTTGGAGGTGTTTACTTCACAGCGGCCCGCAAACATGTGCCGATTCTGGCAAGCTCCTGTTTCACACATTAGTCACAAAATTATGAATGGGTAAAGGGGGCCGCGGATTGTGTAGGGGGGAATGGCGCTAAAAATAGTCCGCCAGCAACAGGTGGTCTCTGCTCCTCACCCTTCCACCCACGCACATTAGCTTCAAACTCGTGCAGATCAGATTTTTCAACTTAATCATTTTGAACTTTATTGCGAGAGGCTCGAAGAGGCTTGAATATTATGATGTGTTACATCATTGTATAAGTCTGATAATTTCTCATCACTTCCAACTATGGTCACAAGGCAGACAATGAAGGTTCAATTGAAGAACGAAATGGTGTCTCAAACGACAGATCAAATACGATAGAAACAGATTTCACTTTATCAAAGAGTTACTTTAAAAAAATGTCCAACTTTGAGCCTAAAATTTACTTAAATATTTCAGTTCTTTTGCTATTGTAGGCAGACGAGCATACGGCCCACCCAGTGCCCACCCAGTGCCCGCCCAATCATTGCCATCAACAATGCCAGTACAGGCAAGTCGCTGCCTAAAGGGTTACTGTTATGCTTTTTGTTTTGACAACAAATGTCGGATATCCGTCCAAATGGGCGATGGTTCAATCATAGTCCATTAAATTTTGAGGAAACGGAAAGAGACACAGCTATTTTACTGTCTTAAAATCTTAGAACTCGGCAATGATATTCTTTATTAAAAACTTTACTATTCTAATCTTTATATAACCGTTAAAAAATGTAGGTATAATCGTGAAAATTGATTGATCATCTTATAACTGACCGCTTTTAGTGGTAAACTTATCAAAAGAATGTACCAATTTTTCAATCTTTTAAAGTTCAAGTTAATAGTCCAATCTGACTCAAGTGTGATGGATGCTAAAAAAATCTATTTATAAAAATATTGGCTATCTTATCAAGGTTTTCTTTAAATCTTGAAGTTTATACATTTGTCAATTCGTTGACACTAAAACCAAACATCGTTGAAATATTCGGCATTTTATCTTTAAAATGCCTGGCAACGATCTAAACACCAACAAATACAATCCACTAGGTCTTTTTCTTTAAACTAAATTTAGAATTTAAAATTTTTTTTATTGTTTATATGGGTGGACGAGCTCACAGCCCAGCTGGTGTTAAGTGGTTACTAGAGTCCATAGGCATCTACGACGTAAATGCGCTACCCACCTCGAGATGTAAATTCTAAGGTCTCAGTATAGTTACAACGGCTGCCCCACCCTTCAAACCGAAACGCATTACTGCTTCACTGCAGAAATAGGCTGGGTGGTGGTACCTACCCGTGCGGACTCACAAGACGTCCTACCACCAGTAATTACGCAAATTATAATTTCGCGGGTTTTATTTTTATTACACGACGTTATTCCTTCACCGTGGAAGTCGATCGTGAACATTTGTTAAGTACGTATTTCATTAGAAAAAATTGCACCGCAATCTGTCTTTAGTATCGAATTGAGGATTCGTATGTGATCGCCAAATTGGATGCGTGGCAGGCGGCGTTCTCGGAAACGTCTCGTCTGCTACTCGTTGCACATGTTCATTCAGGTTCAATGAATGCAAACACTAACAATAGTGTTCATTCCGATTCCTTGAGCTCGGATTGTCGAGTGTAACAAATATATATTTAATTTTTTTAACGAAATCTATACTAATATATAAATCTACAATGGTTTTTACGGATGTTCCGTTATAACTACTGAACCATGCATCCGATTGACTTTAATCTTGGTATCCATGTAGAAAATGCATATACTTAATGGATAGGCTAATGTTTACATGAGTGTTGGACTCCCTAATAATAATGACAATAAATAATAATGTTAATTTTAAATGCCAAGCGAAGCGGGTGAGTACAGCTAGTTAGTTACTTATAAATTTCGTTGACAATCTAACCCACTAGATAAAAATAGTATTCTGATAAAAGTGTAATTTTGTCTGTTTTTTTAAATTTATTTACGTTGTTGTCAATTTTGATTTTATCTTTGTTCTTAGAAGTACTAAAATGATTTAAAGCAATAAGACCATCATCCCGTATAATAAAATAATAGCTGAAATCGAAAAATTATAACATCAAAGCAAATTATGATCAAAAATAAAAAATATTTCATATTTAAATCAAGCAAACATCTTAATATTTTATTTTTTCTGGAAAGTGTCGAGTTCCGTTTGCCTCTTAAATATACTATATTTCATCAATTGTTTCCGCTAACTTTCATATAATAAAACCTTCTTCTCTGAATCTAATTTAACACTTATAGTTAGTAATCTGTAAATTACATAAATTCAAAATAATTTTCCATACTCTCCAAATTGCAATGTTTTAAATACATATTTTAGTAACGCAATAAAAATGATTAATCATAATTTGTCGCGAGTTGGCCGTGTCCCCGGTGCAACTGCGGGTGCATCTAAATATAGAGTGCAGTCCTTGGGCTCTGTATTCACATAAAGGCACATAATTGAAATGTTTCTTGACACTCATCCTAACCAGCAATTAAGATGTGTATTTAAGCATGATTTTACTACGGAATGCTATTGCAGGGAAAATAGAAATACATATTAGGCTTTTGAAGTTTCATATCCTGCTTAAGTTACCAATAAAACTATTATGTTATTAAAAGAATTGAGTTAAAACAATTTTTTTTCACGCATATAACTATTCAATTCAGCAATTAATGCAACGTCGTGTTCTGCTCACGAAAATTACAAACACAATAGCATTAATTGGTACCCCCCTTCAAAAAATAATTTAACCCGAGAGTGATATTAAATATAGGTTAAGCCAAAAAAACTAGTGTACAAATTCGAAAAGAATTCGACGTAACCTAAATTGCGAAATTTATTTATTCCATACGGGCCAAAAATGCCAGACAGGTGATGGTCATTATGAAAACAATTTGTAATCCAATTATAATTACAGTCCCGTTGTCTGACTGCCAGTCTGGAGTCTGGACGCTGACAATAAGTCACGCGATGGTTAGGGTCGGCCCGCAGGCGAGGCTGCAAACCTTCACATAATAACTAATGGTGGCAATTTGCGAAATGCAGCTGCGGAATTCATTCAAATATTAACAAATAAACGTTCTTAAGGCCTCTTGTGGTTTCTGCTTAAAGTAGTTTTACTGAATTTCTTATCAATACCGGTCACCGTCCTCGTCGAACCCGTCAAGTGACGAAGGGCTCGAGGAATCGAGCGAATTAACCCATAGACACAGCCCACTGAGTTTATCGCCGGATCTTCTCAGTGGGTCGCGTTTCCGATCCGGTGGTAGATTCTGCGAATCACTGCTCTTGCTAGGGTCACTGTTAGCATCACTCCGGTTTGAGCCCCGTGAGCTCACCTACTAGTTAACGCTATGCTGAAATAGCCTCTCAAGGCTATCAGCTTAGGTAGGAAAGAAAAATTCTTATCAACTTGGCGTATAATTAAAACTCTTTGGTATAGTGTGAAAGAATCAGAGAATCTAAATCTGAATACTGAGAAGCAAGCATAGCATACGATAAGTTACTCCAATTCCGATTGGGGGTGTTACATGTCATTCATGTCGATGCGACTCCAGCGCATACACGAATTTTCTGATTTAAACCGCTGTTATCACGTAAGATCCTCTGGCTTTAATCTAATCAAATAAGCTAGTAAATCTAATCGGAATAGACCAGTTTAAACTAGATATTAGGTTTTTAATAGCTTGAAATCCACCAAGCCCTCATAATAATTTATAATTTAAACTAGTGACTATAAAGACGATTTTACGATATCATTCAATTTGATTATCAATGAGTGTGATTCATGTTCATTCAAAAAACATTGTACATGAACAATTACAAATCCAAATTTTGCGTATCTGAAAATGTCTTTCATAATTCAACGATACAATTCTGGCAATCTAAATCCCCATATTAAAGTCCAAATGCATTGGACGAACGCGATGCGATTTGCACGAATTCATGAATTTGCAATAATCATTCTGAAAGAGTCGCCCAGAAACCGATGTTAACAAAAAAATTACTTAGAAAGTATTTGAGTAAAGAACGCAAAAGCAAAATAAAGTATACTCTAGATTGAATAATATATGTAACTGAAATGATGTAAATTTTATTTCAGTTTGTTGAATGTCACCATCAATACCCCCCTTTCGTTGAAGTTTTCTCAGGAGACACACCTTGTTCCTCGGGAGTGTGCGGCCAAAATGTAGGCTTATTTACCGGATCGAGAGCTTGATCAGGGTATAGCTCGTAAAACATCTCCATTGTCATCTCTTCGAATTTTGGAAGTGATTTAATTCTTTGCAACTCTTTTTGCGATCTGAAACAGAAAAACAATCCGTCCTAATCATCAAAAACATGTATTATTTTAAGTTGTGCCTGTTATAGGTGTGGCAAACCTAATGGTTATTTAAAATTAGCTCTATGTTACATAATCTATTATGTAAATTGGTGATATTACAAACTAATAGAATGCTTTCATCAGATATAAATGTTAATTATTCGTCTACGAACGCTTCGATTTCTTTTTGCAAATTCGCACAGAAGGCCTTGATCTGGGGTTCTAGTTCTTTCCACTGTTCCTCAACTTTTGATGTTAGCGTGTCCTGAGGAAAAGGCACTTTAAAGGCTTCGTATTCTTTCTTGAATTTGTCAACAAGCCCCGGTATTGGTACTGATTTCTGATATTCATCCCAGTTTATTTTCGGAGGCTCAGGCGGGTTTGCCAGTACTCTAGAAAAGAGATCCATATAGAAACAAAACGCGAACAACACATCATATATTTACTCTTTCTTAAAGTTTTAAAACACATGAATTACCTTCGCAAGTACGAGTCGACTTTACCTTTAAAAGCAAAGAAATTAGTTTTCTGTTCTGGAGGAACTCTCTTTTCAAGTTCTACCCAGTTTATGGCAGGCTTCGTAAACCTTTTGGCCATTGTATTTCATACAAACTTATCAGATTTTCATAACAGTTTTGACAAGATCGAATTGTCATTTCTTAAATGAAAACGCAGTCTGCATTCATTCTCTTTGGTTCAAAGACCCCTGAATATTTTAAAATGGTCTCAATTCCAGGACAAGCATAATTTTTAACCAAATTGAATTTATGAAGCAGTCAGTTCAGATTATAATAATTGCTGCACACGCGACCGTCCAAATTATGCGATTGCGTGATGATAAGTCCATTGCCAAAACCTTAGACGAACATTTCACTGAAATAAAAAAAAATTGTATGTTTTGCTATCCAGTTTATTCACTTTGTAAAAATATAATAGAGCCTTGACAATGCGAAGTATTAAAACTTACTATTGATCTAACACATAGCATTCAGATTAAGGTATATTAATATTAAAATTTGCATTAAAAAACATGAGATACATTACTTAGGAAATATTAACAAAGAAAATCGAAGCTAATTAAAGAAATAAGTCGTCGTCTTCGATCAATAATATTGATCGAAGGTCGTCGTGGCTTAAAGGTTAAGCTGTCCGGTGCATTCGTATGTAGCGATGCACCGGTGTTCGAACTTCACCGGCATGTACCAAATTTTCCAATGATATACGTAGTTAACAAATATTCACGATTGACTTCCACGGTAAAGGAATAACATGGTGTAATAAAAATCCAAACCCGCAAAATTATAATTTGCGTAATTGCCACCACCCCGCCTATTTCTGCCGTGTAGCAGCAATGCTTTTCGGTTTGACGGGTGGGGTAACCGTCGTACTGTTATAAGTGAGGCATTAGAACTCATGTCTCAAGGTGGGTGGCGGCATTTACGTTGTAGATGTCTATGGGCTCCGGTAACCATTTAACATCAAGTCGGCTGTGACCTCGTCCTCCCATTAAGCTATAAAAAATTAATAAATATAAAAACTTACACACTATGCTATGTAAATGAACCATAAAATGATGATGAACAATTTTACCATAAATGATGACAAAATTTGCATTAATATAACCAAACCGGATCACGCCTCGGATCCTATCTCATAACACGCTAGTGTATTTTTAATAAGTTACATTCATCTGACGATCTGATGTTCTCATTTCTCCGTACACTATCAAAATGCCTTTCATAAACTTGTCGTAGTCGAATAAATATATCCCGGTTAGTTTTTAGAAACAATAATGTTGATCGTAGCCCGGACATGTCTATACCAGGCGTGGCCAACTTGATTAGAACCAAGATCTTATCTACTGACGAAACACTCTGCGATCTACTAATGACAATTCTTGAAATTTTAATGAAACAAATAAGTAATATACAAATGAGTAGTATATTTTCTTTTATTCCTCTTTGTGTCAATAATCCCCAATGCCGAGAGTCCTGGCCTACTCTAACAACTTTCTCCTAAATTATCCTGCGCCACTCCTGCCTATCCTCGGCTGTATAGATAGAAACGTGAACTGAAGTATTGAGAGTGAAGCGTATCTGGTCCGACATTGGACTTCTGACTCTGGGCCTTCTTCCGCATACCAGTCTGCAGCCAGCAGCAGCAACAGTAGCGTTGTTTATTTTATTAAAAATATTAAAATAAACCTGAAATTATATAAAAAAGAACTATTGTATTGAAGAGAGCATAAATAATGTGACGTAATGGTCGTTGACAAATGATACAAGATGAAGATGATGCGTGCAGCAAATGGTGATTACGTTGCGTAGTCTGTTCTATGTATTTATATTTTTTGTCTTGCCATGATCGACCGGTCGATCGCGGTCTAACGGTTGGCCACCCCTGGTCTATACGATGCCGGTTTTCACGGTTTTCTTAGTTACAAATCTTGACTGTCAGAATATTACAGTAACAACTAAAGTAAAAAAAAGACCAGTAAGGCGCGCTTTTCTAGATAATAATTATGCGATATTTGTGTTATTATAATAAGGTACATAATGTTATCAGGCTGTGATTAGATACGAGCGCCATGTTGTTATTTTGGACGAGCTCGCGATAATTTCGAACACTATTAAATATGCGTATGAAAACTTTGAATTATGAAATTTTCAGAGGTCTTATACGAGACACTCATTCTGCCTGGAATCGAGTTCAAAATTATGATATGTCTTTCGCGAATTTTGTTATTTTTCTAATGATTAATGTTGAGCAATTTAAGGCGTAGCGTTGATAGAACAAAATTTTAATAATACCGATAAGCGGAAAAAGTGTTCTGTTGAAATCATTTGTTTGCAAACATTGTAGAAGAGTACGCAAGGTAATCGATTATTGATTAGCTTTTTAACTTGAGAAAGCTAGCCAGTTCGTTTTAGTAACATATGATAATATAGAATTTTTACTATAAATACTAAAACTTTTCTAAATCAAGTTCGGTATTTTCAAAAATCAACTACATAATTTTTTTCATTGAAATCCTAAAGATTCGCAGAAATCATATATTATCTACACTTTGCATCTCTGTTACATTTTAATTAATCACAAATTGACGTAAATTAAAATAGTCGACATATCCTTTGCTATTTCGAGCCTCGTAGAATCATTCGGTCACAACCCTTACTAATACACTAACGCTCACCCCGCCGTGTTCAAATGAACAAATCGACACACCGTTTCAATTACAAGACAATAATGTCTCCGGGTGTCGGGATCGCGCCGTATCCGCCGGATACTATCCGTAACGACACGGCACCGATTTCACTTCAGACGCGCCGAATTTCTGCTGACACATTTACAATCCCAAACGCTTCTGGTTGTATGACGAACCAAGTCTCGTGTGCGTCCAGCTACAAAAATATAACCCTTATAGGTGTTCTAATAAAAACGGGCCGAGAAAGTCGGGCGCGTGCCTTGAGGTAACTTCCGCCGGATCAAGTCGTTATCCAAAGTGTTAACTAATTTCGATTACTTTGATGGTAAATTAGCTGTTTCGAGGAAATATCTTTAGGATTCTTTTATTATTTATTCTTTTTTTTTTTCTCATTTTGTTTAGTAAAGTTCATGTATTAAATAATCTGGAAGCTTATGAACTTATGATACTCGCATATCTTTCAATGATTTTTGGGTAGATATTTAGTATCTCCGTTAGAAATAATTACAATTTGAGAAAATTCGGAGTGTTTTTCTTAACATACAATACTTTTACGAGTTCTTTTCGTGCGTTTTCGGATTCTAAGGTCACAATAAAATCATTTAAAACCAAAAGTATACTTTTTATTGCATTAGCAATTAGTGTCCATTAGAAATCAGCGCTCATCTAGAGTTCAGTGGTTATCATTGTCAATGGACATCATAGCTTGTATGTTGTCATGACTTTACTGGTGTTAGGACCTCTTGTGAGTCCGCACGGGTAGGTACCACTACCCCGCCTATTTCTGCCGTGAAGCAGTAATGCGTTTCGGTTTGAAGGGTGGGGCAGCCGTTGTAACTATACTGAGACCTTAGAACTTATATCTCAAGGTGGGTGGCGCATTTACGTTGTAGATGTCTATGGGCTCCAGTAACCACCACCGGGTGGGTTATGAGCTCGTCTACCGATCAAAGCACCCTTCATCATGAACATTTGTTGAGTACGTATTTCATTACATTGGGTTTTTATTTTTTACAGTCCCAGCACTATGAAGCTGGAGTGGACGGAGAGCGAGTCCGACTATGGACTCGAGGAGGCAGCCTTTTACGAGGCTCCGACCGCCGTGGCGCCTCCTCCAAGGAAACATGTCTCGTTCAGTCTTAGACTAGACTTGGTAAGTAATGATTATTAATATGAATATTAAGTAATTAATTATTAGTATTATTATTAAGTAATGATTATTTCCTACCTACCTGATTATTTTATACCTACGCCGAAGGTTCGGTTTTCCTCCCGCTGTACAGGGAAGAAAGTCTAACTTTTCCTCCCTGGGTACTGACAAGTGCGCATGCGCGTTAATGTCTACGTCTGCTCGCACGCACCTAAAATTCTCTGCCATTGTTGTGCTCGGGTAATTTGCAATATTGTGTTTAGTGTAAAAGTAAAATAAACAAAAGGCAATAAAATTTAATAGTGAAGTATTAAACAAAGATGAGTTCATCAGACAGTTCTTATTCAATTAGTAGTACCTAGTTTATTTAAAAATTAAAAAAACAGTTAAATTGTTTTTTTATGAGCATCGCCTTCGGCTCGGGTGGCAATTTTACACGCGGGAGGAAATCTCCTACTTTTCTCCCTTGGTGCACAATTTACTATTTTCGAACGTATTAAGAATTGATGCGATACAATAATTTTATCGCTTTGCCTTAATGACTTGACCAAAATAACCAAGATTTAAAAATATATTTATTTGATATTTTAATTTGGCTTGCTATTAACGAGTGTTTTTTTTTTCGTTTCGAAACTAGATCTAGAACCGGTCCAAGACGATCTTATTACAAATTCTATAGAGCGTTTTGTTAATAATTTGCATTTTTTTAAGTCTTATAAAAACGAATCATCAAAGAGAGTTTTCTCGTGATGATGAACCGTTATCGAACTCTACACTCTAGGAAATTAACGACACCGTCCACCTTGAGGTAAAGTCTTAACCGCATCGGTATATCCCGCCCCCAAGATATCCTCTACTGCGATGTACTTCAAGCTTACTCTATGGATCAAGAAAGGCCTTACGAATTACGGTCCCAAAACAACAATTTTCTTGCTCTCCCTGTGGATGAAACGGATTATTTAGGCCCAACGTATGTGGTGCCTTGAATAGCAACTTGAGGATGTGGAAAACCAAGATAAGGCTCTCGTTACTAAATTCCAATGTCAAAATTTTTCGACAGAATAAAATAAGGGGAATTGAAGATACTATTTGATTAAATCTTAAAACGACCTTGCAAATGCATAGGTTTCTGGATTGTCGGAGAATAAATGTCGTTTTAGTTTACTGCTATGATACTATTAAGGCTGGCGTCGTACATGTTAGCTACTCTCCTACAGGCTATCTGGGATCGCATGCTCAATT